TAATTCCCAAACCAATTGAAATTTTTTTTTCAAAATTGTTCATTTTGTGTAGAATTATATTAGTTTACTACACTATAAATTTCAACAAATTCGGTTCACTGGTTCGCCTGAAAATTAGGCACGCAGTATCTCCATAACGTTATAAATGCAGACTCCAACCTTATTATACAAAAAATATCACGAATCTCCTTTTTTGTTAAACATATTTTTTTTTAACCTACAGAAAAATGATCTGCAAGCTTGGAAGCGAATCTTGTTTTCGCAACTTCGTAACCAGCATCTTTGCTTATACATATAAGAATGATATAAGAAAGAAAAAAAGCTAATTTTGGAATCCTTAGTTTCATGTTAAAAAGTTTTGTTGAAATTACAATTTGTTTGCATCCACACTTACGAATGCGCCAGTATGGAGAAATTTTGGATCTCACAAAACTCTCACAAATTACCTAAAAGGAACACAATATTTTGCGATTTTCCATAGTGGTGTTTAATTAATATCTTTCACACAATTCACAATTCATCATATTAATGCAAGCCTGGTGGGATAATACAAAGTGGCTCACTCAGTAAATTATAGGTATTGTAACTAATATAAATTTCTTGCTATAAATTAATTTTGTTATATCCTCGCCGTATAATTCAGCAACATATTCAAATCTGCTTTGTTTCGTGTTCGTACCCGAAAGTATGTATATTTATGTAAACGCGATTCACCATTCAAATAGAAATGTAAAGACTTCTGAATAGTAGACCCAGTTAGATTTAATCGGATAAATTTCACCCGTAAACTGCATTACTTCGAAACCGTGTTACTTCCAACATCAAAGGGAACGCCTTTATGGTTTACTAACTAAAAAAAAGCTTAACCCACTTTCGTATTGGTTTTTCTCCCTAATATTTGCTATAGATAGCATCGTCGTTTCCCCTCAAAACCTCCATCCACTTTGATAATTAATGATCATACACAAAAAGCGAGCGCACGTATAATCAATCATTTTAAAAATATTTTAGCGCGGTCCTACGTGATACTAACTTTGGATTGCGCTTTTTTAAATATTTATAGATAGCCTGTCATTCATTTTCTCTTCAGTTGTACCGTATTATTAAAATGGTTCGCAATCATGCGGCTTTATCTAAAATTCTAAACCGACCGAGTAATTGACAAATATGACAAATATTAACCACCCCCCATCAGCGGTTTCCATGCTTTGTAGCTTCGCATTAAATTGTCATTGTACTTAAATTAAAAATGGTAGCGGCTTTTGTTGAATCAAAAACAGGCAGCGATATACAACTTTTAAATCTTGATCATTTCCGAAACACTTGAAATTATTTTTTCGATTGGACCCTCGTATCGTATTCGCGAAAAAAAATATTTTAGACCTTTTTTAAACTGCTTTCAAACCTGCTGTACGTAATGTATACCTACTTAGATAAAGTGTGTTTCCAAAATATAGTGTTC